GAAATCACCATTGATACATCTTTGTATGCAATTTAATTAAATATCTTTGTTTTGAAATGTCTATCCTCTGACTAATAAAAGCAGATACATTGATGGGGGCTTGAGTGTTTTTCTTAATTGATGTAGATCATGTTTTTCACCATTCTATACTTCACTCTCTGCTTCATTTTTACAAATAAAGAAACCAAGGTCCAAAGAGGAGACGTGATATGGTGAAAGTTGCATAGCTAATTAGTTAACAGAACTATGCCTTGAGGGGCAGCTGGGTGGTACAGTGGATAGAGCTCTGGCCTTGGAGTCAGGAGGATCTGAGTTCAAATCTGGCCTCAGACACTTGACACTTACTAGATGTGTGACCCTGGGCAAGTCAGTTAACCCCAAACGCCTCACCAAAAAGCAAAAAAAAACAAAAAACAAAAGCAAGGCCTTGGTGCCAGGCATGGGGATGTCAGGTTTCTAGCTTCTGTGGGGGAATGTTAGGAGAAGGACTTCAGCTGAAGAAGGAACAGCAATTAGGAAAGTCATCTGGAGGACTGTGCAGAAAGTCAGAGACTGATTTTGGAGAGGGGAATCTCAATGGAGAAAGAGAAGGCCGTATTTAATCAAAGGAGATATAGTTTGTAAAAGCACTTAGCATTGTGCCTGACATACAGCAGCCGCCATCTAAATACGTATTCCCTTCCCTTCCTTTAGGTGAATGAGAAAGACTGAGTAGGTCTGAAGGAAAAGATTTAAAACTGAACTAGGCCTGGTATCGGGAAGACCCTCAAATCCAGCCTCAAACACTTACACCACAGGCAAGTTGCTTAACCTATCTGCCTCAGTTTCCTCATATGTGAAATGTGGATCATAACAGTAACTACCTTCTAGGGTTGTTAGGATAAAATGAGATAATATTTGTAAAGTACTCTGCAAACCTGAAAGTGCCATGAAAATGCTAGTTATTGTTATTATTACGTGAAACACAGGTGAAAGGATAAGAAAGATGAGAATGGAGAAAAGTCAGTTGTGAATTTTCAAAGACAGCAGCAGGAACCCAAAGAGGGAACTTTGTTTTATGATAGGAGAGAGCTGTGTATATTTATAGGCAGATGGCAAAAAGCCAGTAGCCTGGGAGGGCTGGAGAAAAGAGGGATAGATACCAGTCCTGGAGTTGTGGGGAGGGAATGAACAGTTGGCCTCTTGTCTTCAGAGTCTGGTGAGAGATAATCTCAAGGTGAGGACATAGTAATTACCTAATAAATGCTTATTGACTGGCCTTAGTATTCTCTTTGAAGTAAGAGTCAAAGCCCCTTGTTGATAATGAGGGTGGGGATGTGGGGTCTTGGAGAGAACCATGGGAAGACATGCAATAGCATTGGGAGGAAGAGGGGAAGTTCCCTATAGAATCGATAGAAGGTTAATAAAAGGATTGCCAGGGAGTGGCGCTGGCCCAGGTGAAGTTGGACAAATACATTTGTAGTAGGTCAGGTGTGACTAGTTCTGTGTGATGGTCAGCAATACACTCTGGGGCCTGGGGAACAGGGTTGGCAGGCCATCCAGGTTGAGATAGTATGGCTTGACCTAAGGACAGTTTAGGCTGGGGGTCCAGAGCACTTTGGGGTAGTAGGGCATTTAACCTGCCATTTCAAAGACCATAAATGCCAGCCCATTCTGATCCACCCTTTCCACCTGGGAATTACAGCTCATCTTCTCACAATAGTACAAGGTTTGTGTTTCAAAATAAGCCTACTCCATTAGGAGAATGGAAATATAGTCTAGCCCTGAGAAATAAAGTGAGAAGGCCCACGCTCGTCTTTACTTAGCAACCTGAAAGGTTTATTTCAAATATAAGTATTCAAGTGGATCATTTTCCATTTCTGCCCTGGCTGACAGGAAGGCCCAGCATCGCACCTTTGCAATATTCACAGACTACCAAGGTGCGTTTTCAGCCAATAAACCCCAGGGCAATCTTCTACAATAGAACTTTCCCCATGGCCACCTAAAAATCCCCTAAATAAACCACCGATCGGCTGTTTGCCTACACAGCACCAAAGGTGCCAGGCAAATGTTTCACGCTGGTTTGTTCACATATACTCACAAAGAAGATGCTGCATTAACTAGACCAGTTTTCACTTTTAATAGTCTTAAAAGTACTACTTTCATCAGTGAAATTTAAAAATGCTAAAATGGAGATTGTGAATTTGGAAGGTCACTTTTTTTTTTAACCATTTCTTCTTAACTTTGTTAAAATACTTGCATAAGATGAACATTTCCTTAAGCTTTTAATCACTTATCCTGTTTTACAGAAAGCCAACTACGTGAACCCGGAGTCAGGAAGACTCAAAAGTTCAAATCCAGCCTCAGACATTTACTGTGTGACCCTGGGCAAGTCACTTAACCCTGCCTGCCTCAGTTTCCTCATTTGTAAAATGGGAATAATAAATACACCTACCTTCCAGGGTTGTTGTGAGGTTAAAATTGAGATAATATACATAAAGTGCTTTGCAAACCTTAAAGTGGTATAAAAATGCTATAAAAACCCTTTCTGCAAGGGTCTTTCCCCCAAGATGTGCATATTAATAACACTTAAGCAAGCTTTTTATGAAATCAGGCACTCAGTTTCAGTTACAAATTCACTTGAAATTTGGTTATCACCTTAATCTAAACATAGTAATAACTTGATCTTAGGAAGGTCACTTTTCTATAGAACTTCACTATCTTGAACTCAGGGAAGAAAAAATGTTTCTGAGAAGCCAAAACAGTTGTTATAAAACCCAAGCATAAGCATGATTACTCACAATGGTGCCCTCAAAACCTCCCCTAGAAAATATTTACTGTTCCTTTAGACACAATTCTAATTAACCGTGTCACCCGGTTTTCTAGCACGTTGCAGATTCGATGCAGAAAATCAGAAAGCAGGGGAGGAACTGGAGCTGGAAGCAATCCTACCGCTAGGCACAAGGAGTGACCGCTGGCTATGTGACCCCGATGGTGGTGACTGTGGAAGAAGACTGAAAGTCACACCTCAACCAGCCCAGCAGTGTAGAAGCAGTACAGCAAAAAACCACCCCATACACCTCAAGAATCCCTGAGAGGCCATCTTTGCATCCCAAATAATTGATATTCTAACCATGACTGCATTATCAAAAAAAAAAAGAGATTGAATTAGGTTTCATATCTTGCTGAAGTTGGCTTAGACGTGTTAAAATTCATTAATAGAACAGTTTTCATCAAAAATAGGTACTATCTAAAACCTTTTCATGATGAATAGGGAAAAGAAACTTCATAGTTACTTGGGAAATTTATTTATGGGGACCAGCTCATTTCTCCCCAATTCTGGGTGAAGCATTCTGGAAGTCAAAGCCCACTTTAAAGATCTGTAGTAAGGACTCCAAAAATCTCCCTCTCCTTCTGGAGAGGTACCTATATACAATTTGCGTAACACAGGAAGAAGTGGAAAGGCAAGCAGAGACAGGTGTCCCTCCCAACTTCGAAATACTGATTCGACCTCTAAGTAAAGAAATAAAATGACTGCACTTACCAGGAAGAAGCAGAGGCCGATTGGAACAATCCAATAGACAGGCGTTCCCACGGGAGACCCTCGGTGTGGGAGGTGGGCCTATAGAACCCTAGCACAAAATCACCTTAGGTTTAAACAGTCCAGAAGCCATTCCTACCCCAAGGCTGTAAATGAATTCTACAAGCCTCAGCTGAGGCTCTCAGGATTCCAACCTGGACGCAATTAGCAATTAGCACCAAGAGCTAGGAGCAGAGAGAGAGGGCCAAAAGGAGCCTAGCACCCGCTGGGACTGAGGGAGGAGAACTGTTGGGAGATCAAAGAGCAGCAGTTACCTGAGGTGGGACAATGAACCCCGGGGCTAGGCAGGCCCCCAGGGGGAGGGGAGAGCAGTCTGAGTTTCTGTGCCATCTGCTGTGCCAAGAGAACTATGTTTCGAAGGCTCACTTGGCTGGATGCTGGTGGAGCAGCTGATGGCCACTTCTGGAAGGGTGTTGCACACTCAAGTTTCCAGGTTTCCCCTGGGCTGGAGCCAAGCCACATCAAGGAGGTGTTCCCAAGGTATTCCCAGGCTCTGTGTGAGAGAGGGAAGCTTCTGACACGAGGCTTAGTCAGTTAGACACTCAGGTCCTCCTCTGCTGCCTCTTCAAAGTGTGGAGGTGACCTTAGGCACTGGAAAGCTCTGCCAGTAGAACCCAAGCATGGGCTGGACTTGCCAGCCTGAAAACGCTTCAAGTATTTGACCAGCAACAGTCTGTGGTTGTTATCCGAGGATCAGCTGAGCAAAACACAGAGAAGACCCTGCCAGTGACAAATGTTTCGGCACAGCCATTCACAAAAAAGATAAACATACAAAGGCTTGGGGGCACAGGCGGAAAGGCCTGAACTCATAACAGCATGAATCCAAGTATCAGAATCTATACAAGTACACCCAAACACAGCCTCTTCTGACGGTCTCTCCAAAGGGCATGTACACGCTGCCTCTCGACGCCGAGTGCCTGGCATTTTCACTGAATTGACTAGAAAACAAACTCCCACCATGACAGTCGCCTGCCTTCAATGGGTTCGCCAGACCATAGATGGCCAACAGGGCTGGGAAGGAGTCCAATTCACTGAGCGAACAAGACAAGCAACTCCAGTGGCAATGACATGGGTGGTCTGCAAGGTGGAATGTTTTATACTTCCTCAAAGATACATTCCAAATGAGTTTCCAATGGAATCTCTTTTCAAGAAACTTTATTCTAAAAGGAATATTTTTTTTTCTATCACAGATGACCCAACAACATAAGCTTCTTCCCCCCCTCCACACACCAAAGTGAAGTGTCTGATAATAAGTAATTAAAGGTTAAGTATGTGGGTATTCTTCATATTGTGGCAAAATAAGCACCATACATAATAAAATTATTGGGAGATTTCTGGACTAAACACTGTAATGTGTGGCTGATAAGGAAGGATACATTGGTAAATTTTGCAAGTTTTAAAAAAAATTGGTCACAATATGTTCAAATCTGTAAATAAGTTTATTAATGATAAGCACACATAGTGGTATTTTTATTTTTTAAACAAGGTACTTCCATTTTATAATTAGCTCAACTGGTAGATGATTGTCCAGTAGTCCACGGGCTGTAAGTAGTGTTTGGAAGGAGAGCGATTTGTAAATCATAAAGTGCTACAAAAGGTGAGTTCTAGGCCTCTGGCTGCACAGAGAAGTAGAAGGAGTAGCTATGGGGTCACAGCATCTGAGTTTGCATCCCAGCTCTGGGGCTTACTGGCCCACTCAGACCCTCAGTTTCCTCATCTCATTGGAGCAGATGATCTCTAACGTCTCTTGTTAGCTCCAGATGAATGATCCTGTGTGTTGGGCCCCCTTCTCTTCTTTTTCTCCTTCATATTACTGACCTGCTCTACCGAGCAGGAAAAAGGAATGGAGGCGAATCCCAAGCCAACCCAGCTACTTGTAGGCTGACTCAGGCACAGGGTCAAATGAAACAGAACCCCAGGTTTTCGGATGACCTAAGGTTTTCATCAACGTTGTCTGTCTGTGGCCCTTATGCACACAGTAATTAAAAGGGGCCCATGTTGAGCGAAAAAGGAAGATTTCCTGAAGAGAGGTGCGTGTGTGTGTGGGGGCACATGTGTGATTCCCTCTTTGAGCCTTAAAGGATGGCCATCACCCAGGAGCACTCAGAGGCAGCCTGACATCATGGAAAGAACACTGGATCTGACATGAGATGTTTGGGATTGGTGTCCAGTCTCTGTTCCAAACCAACTGACCCTTTCGAATTTCAGTTTCCTCATCTATCAAATGAGGGGCAACATCAGCTACCTCACGGCATTGCTGTGAAGATCGCAATGCGAGACAGTGCATATAAATGTGAACTGTCGTTATATTTTTTAGCAATTTCATGATAATTTTATGGGGAAATAAAGACTCAACAAGCGGCTTTGTGAGTGAATGAAAAAAGAGTTGCTTGGCAAACCCTGTGGTGTGGCATTATCTCTTTTTTTCTGCTAAAAGCAGCCAAAATAAAATTTACTAGGAATTTCAGTCTACACACAAGTTCTAGAAATGATTACAGAACATACAATCCAAGTGTAAACAAGTATTTTTCAAACTCTTTAAATAAGATCAAACTGAGTCTTAATGGATTTTTTATAAAACCTTCTCAGTTAAATATTTGTGAACTTATACTTACTCAGCCTTTCTTTTGTAAGAATGTTCACTGTGTGACACCATAAGTCTCCAAAGGAGAAACTATAATTACTTCTCTTACCGTCTATGACATCTGCATTCTAAGGCAGAAAAAATGGCATAATTAAAGTGAAAAGCAAAAGCAAACCTATGACTGATGTAGTCCTCCTCCTTTTAAAGCACTCAACAGGAATGATGTCAACAATAAAGTTATATAGAACCTATTACTTAAATAAAGCAAACACAAAGACGTGAGTCACCACGGTCTGAGTTACAGTGGAATGCCCTCCTTAATCTGCACTAGAAGCACAAATAGTACACAGCAGATAGAGCGATTCTACTGCATTCTGTTGATTCGCTCTATTTTGTAGAAAAATGCTGCTCTTTTCCAATAATTAATCAGATTGGTCCAAGTATGCCCAACAGACATGAGTGATTCTTAGAAAAACAGGTAAAGAAAAACTACACCCTACGCATGTGTTCTGGCCCCTTGGTGAAAAACAGCCTGTTTGCAGATAGGCAGCATCAGTAAGGCTTGGGCAGATATGCCACAGCCTCTTTCTGACCCCCTAAAGGATAAGCTTAAGCTTTATCAATTGATTTCTCCAAAACACCCAAGTCCTTCACTTGTAAATCTTACTCATTTCCCCTACTGCGTAAATGAACTAGACCAAGCGTCCTCCTCTTAGCTGGAATAATTCTACACGGGGAAACATTTACAACCCCAATATGAAGTTCAGACTCTTGGCAAACCTTGCGGATAAACACGATGCAGTGCAGCAACAAATCTATCGTGATGCTGACGCCTCTAACGGCACTATCATCAACCCAACTTTCCAACGAAGAATGAGAGTGGCTTTTCACACCATGTTGTGTCTCACAAACACAACTGAGTTCCTCCTCTTGTCTGATTCTACCTCTGGTTTTTGAAAAGAAGAATCAATAACCACAAATGACCTAATTGTTCTCCTCTGAGTCCTATCCCCAACCACCCTGCTCTGTACAGGCTGCCCACCAACAATCATGGAGTTGGTACCAAGTCATGGCATCTCTGAGGAGCTCATGGCCTTCACGGGGTGAAGTCCCCATCTCTAATACGACATCTTTAGGGGGTTGGTCACTGGTAAATTCAAACTCAGCTGGTGTAGAGGTGGAAGTCGTTAAAACTTTTTAAACTACAAAAGGGTATTTTTTTAAAATTAGAATTTTCATCGTAACCAAATTCATTAGAAAAGAGGCCAATCTCTTCTGCACCCTCAACTTTCCATTACAATTCAAATAACCAACCAAGTGCATTCCTGGGGTGCGTGGGACTAGTTACAAAATTACTCATCTTTAACTCCCTCCATATTTTCTGATTTAATTAACTTCAGAGATGAAACTCCTGTTTCAATGTCAAATCATCCTTCATTCTCTGATATGAAAGGCAAATGCCCTTCATTTTTATTTTCTATTTAAATTCAGTTCTAAAAAAAAGTTAAGGCCATTTAATCATATCAGTTTCAACTTAAAATTAACCCAGCCAAAGTGAGATTACTGTATTGTATTAAAGGCCTTGAAAAGGAGTCACGAGCTGCCATCTTCTGTTTTTCTTCCATATGGTCTGAGAACAGTCAGCAGGTTCCATATTTCATTAGTCTCCAACATCGCCATCTCGATCGCCAATGAGCCACAGAAAATGAAAGCTCAAAGCTAATAAGGCTGTTCCAAGCAGATCCCCCAAAGCCGTGAGGTACGGGATGGAAAAGCTATCAGGATCCTTTCCTTTTCTCCAGAAGTGATGCACCATCCAGTCAGCAATCCACAGCAAGCTGAACACCTAGAACGATAAACCAAAGATCCTTTTTGGCTGGGCCAGACAATTCTGAGGCCATTATAAGTCTATAAACAAGCTCAAATCCCTGATTTCTGCTGGCTTTCACATGGGAGCCTAAGAGAATTAACAGTTAAAAAAAAGAGAGAGAGAATTAACAGTCAAGCATGGTCCACTGAGTATCTGCCACGGAAGAGTAAGGTGCCCAGGGTGCCGAGGACATGGCAGGGGGCCCTCCTATTCAGGTCTGGGCCAAACAACCTCATTCTGAGATCCTATGACTCAATTCAGTTCAGGAAGCATTTATTAAGTGCCTAATGTGTGCTGTTCTAGGTATTAAGAATACAAATGGATGACTGACATCCTCTCTCATGAAATACTTATAAAGGAATATGAAAAAAAATCACCTTGCATTTGCTAACCCTTTGGACATTTTAAAAGGTATTTCACAGATATCACGTCATTTCTACCCTATCTCCCAACAACCTGAAGAGATAGACAGAGCCGGTTTATCCCCATTTTCCAAGTGAGGAACCGAAGATGAAAGTGTGCCCGAAATCACAAACAGCTCAGGGCACGAGAAGGCAACGCCAGCTTCCAGCCCTGTGGCCATCAGCCTCGGCTGCTTTGTGCTGCATCTGTCTAACTCGCTATAGACTTAGAAAGATTTTCCAAGGCCGTGGGGCTCTCTAACCAGCCCTGGTAAAGACATTTTACAACAACAACAACAACCGCTAATAACTACATAGAGTTACAATAAAAGGGCACATATAAAGGGGAGAGGACATGTTCTCCTGTGGCCCGCCATGATTTATGGACTTGGAAGACCAGTTGGCCCCATCCTCAGCTCCACACTGCAAAGGCTGCCCAGCCTCCTTGAACAAGACCAAGAATAGCGACGTACTTCTCCAACTGCCCAGGCAGGTGTAGCAACACCCCAGAGACCAATGTCTGTGCTCTGACTCTCTTCCCCGCTCAGGGCGCCCGGGTGACCCCCTCCTTGACTCCCTCTTTCTTACTAGCAACTGTATTTTGCCATTGCAGGGCTCTAACAGTGGCTTTCAATTTGACTTCTGCTCTAGGGCTTTATTTTTCCCTTTTGTCTGACCTGCTCTGGGCACATGCCTTTAACACCACTGTTGCCTCAACCCCAGAGGCCAGGTTGATACCCTGGACCTTCTTCTCAATCTCCCCATTTGCTAGCACCCCTAGTGTCCTATGACACCCTCAAACCTGGGTCTTCAATCACTCCCCTAGGCCATAAAGCCTCCTGGCAACTAGACACTGTCCCCATCCCAGATCCTTCTGTGATCAATCACGGCAGTGCTGTTCCCAGCTAAGCCCCCTGCCCCTTATTTTCACATGCAGCCTAACACACCCATACTCTCCTTCACTCCCCTCTGGTCCTAGGTTGCAGAGCATTGCTAGGTGCTAGAGAGATTTATTTAAAATGTTGACTGGACCACATTACAAATTCATATTATGCAATTTCATCGTGATCCTTGTTACTCATCTATCCTCTCATCTATCTCTCACTGGCTCCGTAATTACACAATCTAGAGATAATTTCTGACTTTCTCTTGTCTCCTTAAATTCTCCTTCCCCCTTTACTCTCAGGTAGATGTGACATCACCTGTTTCAGGAAGCGGTCTGAGACCATCTAGCAAGAGCTACCTTGGGAAAGAAAACAGCGCTAGGGATGAAAGCAAGACGGTGACTCAGACCCTTTCTTCTTCAGAATTCTCCTCACGGTGTTTTTGGCTCTAATGGGCTTTTGCCTTCTATTTTGTAAATGCATCATTTCCATAGGCCTCTTCTCTCCTCTATTAGACCAGAAGCTCCAGGAGGGAAGGCATCCATCTCTTTGTGGTTTTGTTTGTATCGTGCATACTCCTAAGCACAGTGTTTTTGGGCCAAACCTATGATGTCATTGGTATAGGGGATTCCCAATGAATAAACTCTCTCCAGCAGGGCAGAGCTGGATCTTTTCTGCAGCTTAAGAGCCCTAAAGAATTGTGTGGAACACCGAAGGATGTCTGGCTGCCCAGGTCACAGAATCAAGGTATGGCAGAGAAAGGACTTCAGCCCAGGTCTTCCTGCCTCAGAGGCCAGTCCTGTCCACAGCACCCGCGGCTCCTCTGAGTACTTGGCATTTAATAAATGGCAGCTGAATTTGCTGACTTCACCCTCCTTCTCCAGGCACTCTGCAATCTCTCTCATATGAATCTCATATCTCATAACCCCACTCTTAGTGGCTGCTCATTTGGATTACTGCAATAAACTCCTAACTAATGTTTCTCTCCTCTCTGACTCATACCGTGCACTGCTGCCAGATTAGTCTTTCCAAAATCATCGCTTTGCCCTCATCACCCCCATGCTTAAAGCCCCACATCCTTAGACTGGCCCGTTCAGAGCCCCTCACAATATAACCCAGAGCCATGTGTTCCCCATATCCAGCGCTGCATGCCCCCCACCTCTTCCTGGAATGCCCCCAGCATCCTTTCCATTTATCAAAGCCCACCTCAAGCCTCACCTCCGTGCATCCCCAAGTCACCCCCAACTCCTATGACACTAATGTATACCAATTTGTGTGGTTTTTGCCATATTCTAATAAATGCTCACTGAATTACAGGTTTAATACTATTATCTTGAAAGCACATGGAAAGTAAGAAGGAGTATAAGTCGGCCACAGCTCTTGAGGTTTACAACAATAAATCTGTTTTCAAATATTTCTCTTAAACTAACTAAATTAGACAAAAATTAAATGTTGTGATGAAAGGAGCCCCGGACTAAGAGACAGAAGACCTGAATTTCTGATCTTGCCAGTTCAATTAAGTAGCCCTGGGTTCCTGGGTAATTCATTTATCCTCTGAGGGTCTCGGTTTCTTCATCTATAAAAAGAGCAAATTCCTGGTGAGAGGTTGGAGTAGTGGCCCATTAAAGCCTCTATTCCAGACCTGAAATTCTGTGGAATTTGTACCGAAAAAAGTACATCTCAAATCAAACCAAGGTTGGATTCTAATTTTTCGAGTTAATAAATATTCCCTGTTTGTTCTTTGTGAAATATGCATAACTTCTTTAAGTAAATACATCTTCTGAAAAGGCAACTCTGTAGTCTTGGCTAATTTAATTTCCATGCTACAGGTATGTTGCTTGGAATTCAAACAAATCACATGGTAAAAGAGTGTGTTTGCTTTGGAAGATAGTGATTCAGCAGCAGCTTCTGCCATGAATGAACACAGGCCAGCACTTCCATGCATGAAGAGTCCTGTAGAGGGCTCTCGGGCTTCTGGCCGGACAACCAACATATGCACCCTGACAGGCTTTGGGAATAACAACGTGATGTTTTTCCTACATACTAAGTATAAAACTACCCTACCCCCAACTTACACAACAGAAAACAAACCAACAGAAGCCCCCTGATTTGATCTCATGCCAAAAGCTGTACTTGTGAACAATTTCCCACTTCCAAATATCTGTTAAGGAGAACCTCAGCGCCCAGCAGCCAAGCTTGCATCCCACTCACCCTTAGATATTTATAGCAAACACTTTCCCAAATAACTCACTTGAAACAAGGAAGGAATAAGTACATCCTTGGTTTAAATTGACGGGTTCTTAAACGCTACTTCTCCGCACCTGCAACTGCTTATTCTGTTGGTCACAGCAATGACTAGAATATGGCGAATCAAAGATGTGGGAGCCTCTCTTAGGGGCACAGTCAGCATGAAGAAAGACTAAACCAGCTGTGGTTTAAAAAAAGAAAGAAAGGAAAATACTCTGACAGACACGTGTATACCCTCACCCAATAGCTCTCCAAAGGCTTCCCTTTTACAACTTTTGACCCCATTAAGAAAGCCCTTGATGTTAACTTTTGAGCACCACGGGATCAGAGCCCTGGCTCTGCCCTAGTGAGAACCCTATTTCTGGTCCTTTTTCACAGGCTGGGCACCATCTATAGACAGGCTTATACTAACTACAACAAGCATCCACCTGGCCAACATGCTTTCCCTCCTCACCCCCGTCTGGTTCTGTGCCTATGCTACCTCTTAAAGAAGTCTTCCCCAATATTCCAGCTGTGCTCTCTCCAGATGCTCTGTATTTCTTTTTCAGATATCTTACTGGCTTCTTTGCATCCACTGCGTCCCCTAGTAAAATACTGGGGGAACTTGCAGACAGTAGAAGACGTCAGAACACTGACTGAACAACCAATCACAACTTCAGAAGCCTGGGAAGGAAGCACGTCTTCTTCCTCTCATCAGAGAAGTGGCAGAATTGAGGTGTGGAGTGAGGTACCCCTTGTCAGGTGGTCAACGTGCTGAGTTCCTCTGTATGACTGTACTTTGTTACAAGGGAGATCTTTACATTTTTTATGGCACGATAGTACTGCATTATGTTCACGTAACACAATTTGTTCAGGTACTCACCAAATAAGGGGCACCTTATTCTTCACCCCCACAAAAAGAGCTGCCAAAATATTTTTGGACACATGAGTCCTTTTCCTCTTTCTTTGATCTCTTTGGGAACAGGCCTTCTAATGTCATCCAGATCAAAGGCTATGCACACATTAGTGACTCCTGGGGCCCAGTTCCAAACTGCTGGTCCTTTCACAGCCACAACAGTCCACTGGTAGGCCCGATTTCCCTCAGTCCCTTCAACTGTCATTTTCCTTTTCTGTTATCTTTGCCAATCTGTTAAAGTCATTTTAATTTTCATCTCTCTTAATACTAGTGATTTGCAGCATGCTTTATGTGGTTGCTAATAGCTTGGATTTCTTCCTTTGAAAGCTGCTTATTCATATCCTTGGACCATTTATCTATTAAAGAACATCTCTAAGGGCTCTTTTCAGCACCCCATGGAGTCATCCCTCCCCAAACGGTAAAATTCTCAAAGAGAATATGGAGATGTTGGATACTTCCAGGAAAATGGAAATGAAGTCACCTGAAAAAATCTTAAAAATCCTAAAAAGTGACAGAAGCAAAGATAGCCTAAAGTTCTCAGATACACCC